TACGAGAGGAAGTTGGAATGCATTCCAGCAAGGGAATCAGGTTTCACCAAGGTATTAAAGAGAGAATGAACAAATGTGTAAAGAATGTTTCTAGCATATGTAGACTAAAGAACTCAAAACTTCCTGGCCACAAAATATCATAAAGTATGTGAGTGTGTGGTGTGTATGTTTCTAATCAAATCAGTAGAAGAACCTACAGAAAAAAAGTAAGGGGAAAAGCCAGAGGCCAGAAAAAAGCAAGGACACCAGTTCCAAGGAGTGGTAAACCAGCCTCAGAATCACCTGCTAGCCAGAGGCATTCACTAAGCCGGGTAACCTAGAGCTTAGTACGTAGACCTTTATTGGAGGTGGTGGATGGCTGACCTGAGCGGAGCATGGAGCAGCTTGAAGATGACCACAATATGTCTAGGACTCAAAAAGTGCTGTGCCCAGGGGGAAATGAAGTTGACTCAGCAGAAGCTTATAGCAATTAAAATTCATTCTCAGCCCTGACAATGTGGAGATAAAGGTGAAGGGAGGAAACTCTCCTAATATTTAAAAGCCATTGACCCAACCTCATGAGTGTCTGGGGCTTGAATGTACATTGTTTGTTTAGGCTTTAAAACCAAAGAAAAAAATTTTAATTCAAAATTTACCCTGATCTTCATGCCATAGGCCAATGGCAAAAGCAAATGCTGATCCTCCCTAGTGGAATTTGCCTTCACATATGCCTTGTAAAACTTTCGCAGAAAGTGTCTCGACAATGATGAGCTCACAGTCAAAAATTGTAGAATATACAGAGATAAGCCAATAGGAATCACAGTCAACAGAAAAAAAAGAACATCAGTAGACCTTAAAGGACTTCAGATTTTGGGAGCATGGGATACAGAATATTAACCAGCTATGTATGATGTGTTTTTTAAAATAAGAAGAATTTGGAGGGAGGGAAAACGGACGAGGAGCGTGAGCAAAATTCAAAGCTGCTTTCTGAAAATAAACTGTTAGTTATGGCTGTGCAACAAGACAAGCTAGAACTTGCAAAAGGATCGACAGAGCTTTACTCTTACTCCAGGATGTCAGGCAGTTTTTATAACATTACCTTTACTAGTTACAGCATTTTGTTCAACACTGACTGTAGCGATAACATTAAGTTGAAAAGGAGAAAACTAGAAGTGTTTCCACCTTTGTTTGTTTTCCAGATCAAATTTCAATTAAATAACTTCACAAAAGAAAGGTCTATGAGTGGCAAACAAGCATATGAAAAGATATTCAGCATCATTAATCATTAGAAAAATGCAAATTAAAACCACAGAAAAAGGCCACTACCTACGCACTAAAAGGGCTAAAAATAAACAGACTGACAGTACCAAGTGTTGGCAAGGATATGGGCCAATTGAAACTCCCATATATTTTGATGGGAATATATGAATAATAAATAAATATATGAATGAATAAATGGTACAGCAGTTCTTAGATATTTACCAAGAAAAATGAAAATATATGTTCACACAAAGACCTGTACATGAATGTTCATGGCAGCTTTAGCAGCATAACAACATGCATGACTCTTGAGAACATTATGCCAAGAAAGTTCACAAAAGACTACATAATGTACAATTCCATTGATATGAAATTCTAGGAAAGGCAAATTATAGTCATAACTCAGTAGTTGTCTGGGGCTAGGAGTTGGGTAAGGAAATTTTTTAAAGTTTTAAACATGTCTTTATATTTCAATATTTTAGGGTATACAAGTGCAATTTTGTTATGTGAATTTATTACATAGCAGTGAGGTCTGGGCTTTTGGTGTACCCACCACCTGAGTAGTGTACTTGTACCTAATAGGTAATTTTTTATCCCTCACTACTTTCCCACCTTCCTACCTTTGGAGTTTCCCACATCCATTATTCCACTCTGTATGACAGTGTGTACCCATAGCTTAGCTCCCACATGTAAGTGAGAACATGCGGTATTTGATTTTCTATCTCTGAGTTACTTCACTTAGGATAATAGCCTCCAGTTCCATCAAAGTTGCTGTAAAAGACATTATTTCATTCCTTTTTATGGCCAAGTGGTAGTCCATGGTGTGTGTATGTGTGTGTGTGTGTGTGTGTATGTATATGTGTATATATGTGTGTACATATATACATACATATACATGACATTTTCCTTACCCACTCATCGGTTGATTCCGTATCTTTGCCATTGTGAACTGTGCTGCAATCAACATGAGAGTGCAGGTATCTTTTTGATATAATGACTTCTTTTCCTTTAAGTAGATACTCAGTAGTAGGATTGCTGGATTGAATGATAGATCTACTTTTCGTTCTCAGAGAAATCTCCATATTGATCTCCACAGAAGTTGTACTAATTTACATTCCCCTCAACAGTGTATAAGCATTCCCTTTTCACCACATCTGTGCCAACATTTATTGTTTTTTGAATTTTTAGTAACGGCCATTCTGACTGGAGTAAGACGGTGTCTCTGTGGTTTTAAGTTGCGTTTCTCTGATGATTAGTAATGTTGAGCATTTTTTTCATGTTTTTTGGCCATTTATATATCTTCTTTTGAAAAATGTCTATTTATGTCATTTGCCCACTTTTTAATGGTGTTATTTGTTTTTTCTTGCTGAATTTTTTGAGTTCCTTGTAGACTCTAGATATTAGTCCTTTATCAGATGCATAGTTTGCAAATATTTTCTCCTATTCTGTAGATTGTCTATTTAGTCTGTTGATTATTTATTTTGTTTTTGTTGCATTTGCTTTTGCAGTCTTAGTCATAAATTCTTTGCCTAGGCCAATGTCAAGAGAGGTTTTCCTAGGTTTTCTTCTAGAATTTTTATAGTTTCAAGTCTTACGTTTAAGTCTTTAATCCATTTTGAGTTAATTTTTGTATATGGTGAAAGATAAGGATCCATTGTCATTCTTCTGCATATGGCTATCCAATTTTCTCTATTTCTTTGTTCTCTATTCTGTTTCATTGATCTATATGTCTGTTTTTATATCAATACCATGCCACTTTGGTTACTGTTGCCTTGTAGTATGTCTTTATTTCTGAGTTCTCTATTCTGTTTAATTGATCGATGTATCTGTTTTTATACAGTACCATGCTGTTTTGGTCACTGTTGCCTTGTAGTATAATTTGAAGTAAGGTTATGTAATGCCTCCAGTTTGTTCTTTTTGCTTAGAATTGCTTTGGCTATTTGGGCTCTTTTTTGGTTCCATATGAATTTTAGGATTGTTTTTTCTAACTCTGTGAAAAATTATGTTGGTATTTTTATAGGAATTGCATTGAATTTGTAGATTGCTTTGGGCAATATAGTCATTTTAACAATATTGATTCTTCTAGTTTATGAGCATGAGATGTTTTTCCATTTGTTTGTGTCACTTAGGATTTCTTTCATCAGTGTTGAATAAGGAGATTGATTCCAAAGGGGCATGCAAGAACTTTGTAGGATGATGAAAATGTACTAAGTGTTGATTGTTGGGGTGGTTACAGAATTGTATGCATTTATCAAAAGTCATTGAACTATATACACCTCTAATGGATGCAATTTTATTTCACATAGATTATACGTCAATAAAACTGATTTTAAGAATGCATAATGACCAAGAAACATAGAAAGTAAACATGTGGAAAAATACTATCAAATAGTAAACAAAAAATAGTAACCAAAATAAAATTATACATACACACACACACACACACACACACACCCACACATACACACACACAGTAGTCCCCCCCTTATCTATAGTTTTACTTTCTGCAGTTTCAGTTATCCATGGTCAACCATGATACAAAAATATTAAATAGAAAACTCTGGAAATAAATAACTTACAAGTTTGAAATTGTGCACTGTTCTGAGTAGTGTGATGCAAATTCCACATCGTCCTGCTCCATCCCACCCAGGATGTGAATCATCCCTTTGTCTAGCATATCCATGCTGTATACTTAGTAACCATCTAGGTTATTAGATTGAAAAAGCATCATGTATATAGGC